TCTCCCCCCGGTTGTGCGCATATCTCCACGTTGCAGGTGCTCCGCGGCCTGCTCCGGTACTGGCCAAAGACCAACAGCCCCAAGGAGGTGATGTACCTCACCGAGGTGGAGGAAATTTTGGACGCCACCGAGCCGGCCGCCTTTGCCAGGGTCATGATCCCGCTTTTCCAGCAAATTGCCCGGTCCACGGCCTCGCTACACTTCCAGGTGGCCGAGCGGGCCCTGCATTTGTGGAACAACGAGTACCTGGTGTTTCTGGTTCAGCCGGCCGTGGAACAGATCCTGCCGATCATCTTCCCAGCCCTGTACCGGAGCTCGCGGAATCACTGGAACCGGTACTTTTGCCCTCCGCATCTCGGCTCTGCCTTTCTTCGCGCTCCCCCCCGGCCGGGGGACTCCCTTTTTTTTTTTTGGGGGGGCCTGTGCTCCGGCGGCCCTTTCTTGGCTCTTCCTAACTCCCTCTCCCTCGAACCTGTCCCCTTCTTCCTTCTCTCCTCCGTGTCTGCGGCTCGCTCACGGCCCAACACCCAATTACGCACACGCTCCCCCCCCCCCCCCCCCGATATAACCCCAGCAATCTGCATGGCCTCGTTTACAATGCCCTCCGCCTGTTCATGGAGATCTGCCCGGCCCTGGTGACCGAGTGCACGGCCCGTCTTGCGCGGGAGAAGGAGGCCGCCGCCGCCGAGCGGCGCTCACGCACGGATGCCTGGAAAACCATCTATGAGCGGGCCCTCCATAATGCGGCCACCCTTGGTCTTCCGGAGCCCGACTGTCCGTGGAAGTCGCCGGATGGCGGCGAGTCGCCGGATGGCGGCATCGGCTGGGGTGGCTTCGGCCTCTTCGGCGATGTGGAGGATTCGGATCTGGACTACTACCACCACCAGCAGCAGTATCAGCAGGCACAGCAGCAAGCACAGGAGGCCGAGCAGCAGCACCATCACCAGCAGCAGCAGCAGCAGCATGCACAGGAGGCGCACTTCCAGCAGCAGGCGGCAGCCGAGCAACACCATCAAATGCAGCAGCACATGCAGCAGCAGCAGCAGCAGCAGCAACAGCTCCTCCAGTTCCAGGCGCAACAGCAGCTCCTGCAGTTCCAGGCACAGCAGCAGCAATTCCACCAGCAATTCCAGCAGCAACAACAACAGCAGCAGCAGCAGCAGCAAATGGATGCCGGGACGTTTGTGTCCGGGCACTTCCAGCAGCAGCCGGCCACGCAACCCGGGCCTGGCCTGGGCGATGGGTCCTTCCTTCCAGCCGGGTCTGGAGGCGATGCCCTGCTGGGGCCGGATGAGCTGGCTCTCCACTACCAGGCCATGAGCCTCGGCAATGAGGGCCAGTTCCAGGAGCAGCAAATGCCGGAAATGATGATGATGAGTCACCACCACCACCAGCAGCTCCTCCTCCAGCAGCAGCAGCAGCAGCAGCAGCAGCAGCACTTTTCCTACCAGCAGCCGCTTCACCACTTCACTTCAGATTCTATTGATGACCACCACCTTTCGGCACAGACGCAGGAGGCATCTCTCGCTGGGAACTTCGACCCGGCGGCCAGCCAGCAGTCGCATCAAGCCAGCTCGGCGAGCGACCTGGATGGCTCGATTGGTGGCGACATTTCAGGGAGCACATGCGTTGCGGAGACTCTGCCCCCATCGGTCTCATCGTCATCATCCTCATCGTCAGTCTCCTCATCGGCCCTTTTGGCGGATGGTGGCCGCCTAGAGCCGGAGTCCGGCCCGGGATCGGGATCCGAAGTCCACTCTCCGGCTGGGGCCATTTCGGTGCCCGGGGGGGATCGGTCGCGTGCCGGTCTTGATGCCACGTGCCAGTCCTCTCCCCCGGGCGGCTCGCTGTCACCCTCGCAGCAGCCGGTGCGTTGTGTTGTCACACGGCGCGCGAGAGAGAGAGGGGGGGGGGCCGCAGGCCGCGCGGCCGACAGTCAGCCTGCTTCGCTTTGGCTCTTCTCTCCTTGACACACCGCGTTTCTTTGCTCCTCTTGCTGACATCCACTTCCTGCCCCATCCTCCTGACTGCGCTCATCGTCGCCCCTGCTCCTTTGCGCGCGGGCGCGCGCACCCCACGACACGCATGCAGCTCACTTCTCCGAATGCCGCTGCTGTGGGAACAGGCATGATTCGCGGCTCGGGCGGGCTGGTCCTGCTGCCGCCGCCGTCGGATGCCCCGCCTCCTGGCTTCAACCCGCACGTTCGGAGAAAGTCCACCCTGCCGATGGACCACCAGGTGCTGACAATGCTCCAGCGCCACCGGTCTCTGGAGGACGTGCTGATGAACCCGCCCGAGGCGGCCGACCCCAGCGTCGCCTTCAGCGCGGTGTCTTCCTCTTCCTCCTCCTGCACGTCGTCCGATGGCGGCGTCTACGACCCCTCGTCGTCGCAGCACGGGAGCCCTTCCGTGGGGGAGCTCTCCTGCACCGGGTCCGCCAGCCCGGGCTACGAGGATCTGGTTGCCGGCATGGTGTTGGGCTCCGCGTCGGTGTCGGCCGACACGTCTGACAGCATGCCCATCTCGCCGGACGGCTCGGAGCTGGCCGACACTTCGGTTTCCCGGGCGGCCGGTGCCGACACCAAGGGTGACGATGAGCGGTTCTATTCCGACACCTGAGCGAATGTATGTCTGTATATATATATATGGTATATATCTAAGGATATGCGTGTGTGTGGGAGTGGAAGTGGAAGTGGAAGTGTGTCTGTGTATGTGCATGTGTGTGGAAGTGTGCATGCCTGCCTGTGCACGGACGGCTGGCCAAGTAGCGTCCCCCCCCCCTCTCTCTCTCTCTCTCTCTCTCTCTCTCTCTCTCGCTCTTCCGCTCAAGAGCCCCGCAGCGGCCGACTACTCGCTCCCCTCCCTCTTTCTGCTACTTCTTGACGTTTGTGGACGATCGCGCGGCGTATCGAGCACACACAGCCTTCCTCCAATTCACACTCCACCGCGTCTCAAACAGCCCATTGTCGCACACACACACACACATATATATATATATATGCATATTTATCTATTCATGTCCACGAATCGAGCATATGATTGCTCGCCCTTTGATCATTGCCGTCTTTGATGCTGATACGGCATGGCGCTCAATTGTCGCCGAATCTCCTGGCCGACACAGAAGACAGGGTCACGAGGTGACAGGCGGAGAGGGGGCGAGGGGGGCGGCAGCGGCGGACGCCGAAGGGGAGGGCGGCAGCGCCGGCCACACATCCCTGGCCTTTTTTATTGAGAATAGCAAAACCACGGCCTGCTGCCCTTGGTGGGGCCATCGGCAAACCCCCTGTGCAATGGCCGAACTGCTGTGTGGCGACGGAAGGGGGCATCGAGTGTGTTGTAGCCGCGTCCGTTGCCCATGGGAAAGGAATGGAGAAGGGGAAAAAGCCGGTCCTTGATGTGTCTCAACACTCGGGGGGAGGGGGAAAATGTGCAGGGGGCATGCGAAAAAGGGGGGGGGAAAAAAAAAACAAGATGCCGGAGACGGATCTGTCCGATCGCGCGCCTGAAAATAGAAAACACCGCACAATAATGGATGGCGCGCGGCCGCCGAGTTGGTCTGTGCCGCGCGCTCCCCCCTTCTCCTTCACACGCACGAAAGGCAGGCACAAACGGGGAGCCACAGCGCCCCCCCTTCCCCCCCTTGGGGGGACACTGCGCTCCAGGGACGAGCGTGGGAGCAGGAGGCCGCGCGCGCGCGTGTCGGAGACGAAGGAAAGGGAGAAGTGGCTTCAATTCTTAAGAGGGAAAAAGGGGGAGCGTATGATGCAAGGCAGTGCATGGAGCTAGTGCGGATTCCACGACCACCTGCGATCCACCTGGCACGAAGCCAAGTGGTTCACGCCTCAAATATAGGGAAAATACCAATAAAGTCATATTGACTTTACTTTAGGTATTAACCTAAAGAGAACAGATACTACACTTGATCTTAGCCGAAGCAAGAAAGCTGATCCCAAGTCCTTACGGTCGGCGCGTCGACGACCCTTCTTGTCCCCGGGACTTTGCCCGGCAAGAGGACGCCCGAACTTGGCCCCTCTAAGTAACACCATTCGGGGCGGACCATCGCCGGGCCCCGAGTTGGGGCCCCACATTCCTCTTCTACACCCCGGGGGATGATCACGGGTTGGGCAATAACGCTGACTGGCTGGCGTTCCTCGGCTCCGTGGATACGCCCCCCCCCCCCCCCCCCCCCCCGCCGCACCGAGCCGCGCCCCGCCATCCGCCGCCCGCCAGCACCCGAGCCCGAGAGATGGCGAGGGCAGCTCCCCGGCCCAGGCCCGCGGAGCGTTGGAGATCGGTCCACAGCGGGTGGCCTCCCTCGGGGCGGGGAAGGCCACCCCGCTCTGGCCGGCGTCGGCCCCGCGCCTGCCTCAAGTGCCCCCTGTCTGTTGTTGTCGGCCGCCCGGCACCGGCCCCCGGGCAGCCCGCCCCCCTCTCACCACCCCGCCCGGAGCGGGCCCGGCGGCTGGCCCCCCCACCCCCCAGGCCGGCGTCCGCCCTGCAGCGCCCGGCCCGGGGCCAGGATGCCGGGCCCGGGGCGCGGAGACTTCCGACCCTTTTTTGCCGCTCGATCTACGCGGGCTGCGCGAAGAATCGCGGGTCAGGCTTCGCCCCCCGGCTGGTCGGTCGGCCGGCCGGCCGGCCGGTCGGTCCCCAGCGCGTGTGCTGGGGCATTTTTACGCGGACACGCACACTTTCGCACCCCCTGCCCCCCTTTTTTTGTGGCCGCCCC